GGAGCGATCAACAATAATTAGTAACTGGTCTCACAGGAAACTGGAACCTTCGCGGGACCGATCTTCAGAAACACTTACAACAACGACAACAACCGCGTCTTCTTCAGGCGGGGCGGGGCTTCACTGGCTGGCTGACCATTAGTCACAGGAAGTGATGTCACGTCTGCGGAGGTGACACCTTGGTGATTGGTCATCGTGGAGATCTGGTTTTCTAAACACCTCAGTCTGGAGGTCAGTCTGACGTAGCAGCGGTGTTAGCATTAGCGTTAGCGGCGGTGTGATCCGGTTCCTCCGGCGGTTCCTGGGGGGAGGGGCTGCTCTGGCTCTGGCCTGTGATTGGAGCAGGAAGTGGCTGGCTGATGATGACCAGGGGCACTGAGGGTTGCTGCTGGCTCTGCGTCTGGTTCTCGTGGAGTTGAGGATGGCCATGGCGAGGGCGGCGGGGTTGGCAGCTGGTTGGTTGATGTCCAGAGAGAGGGCGGGGCCATCTGAGGAGTCAGTGAGACAGGAAACAAGTCAGACAAGTTCAGGGTTCACGTGGAGATGTTTACCTGGACGCTCACACACCTGGAGACTCTGCTCTCACATGAAAACAGAGTTAAACAAGTAAAATCCTGAGTCTGTCTGTGCATCTAACAGCTGTGCAAAGTGAAACAGCTCAAAGGGAGTTCCCATCTCCCACAGAAAACTCTGCTCCTGAACTGAACACGTCTGGATTGTGGTCCAGTCAGAGGACGTGAAGCTGTTCCCGAGATGTAGAGACCGAGCTCCGGTAAACGTGTTACACTCCAACATGTACAGCTGAACTGAAGCCGTGTTCACCGGCTTGTCAGGACCCCCCCACTCTGCTTCTGATTGCCTAGTAGTCTTTACCACATGTGCAGCTCCAACCAGAGATCTTATAGAGGTGAGATGCTTCACTCTGCAGCTAAAACAGTGTGAACAGAGCAGAAACGTGCAGTCTGCAAACCTGCTCTGGTGCAGCGCCCAAATAAAACCAGGAACCTGAAAATGCACTGAATGTGACCCTTCAACATTTAGACGCTTGCCTCAGACTCAAACAGACCCAGACTGACTCAAACAGACCCAGACTGACTCAAACTGACTCAAACAGACCCAGACTGACTCAAACAGACCCAGACTGACTCAAACTGACCCAGACTGACTCAAACTGACTCAAACAGACCCAGACTGACTCAAACTGACCCAGACTGACTCAAACTGACTCAAACAGACTCAAACAGACCCAGACTGACTCAAACAGACCCAGACTGACTCAAACTGACCCAGACTGACTCAAACTGACTCAAACAGACTCAAACAGACCCAGACTGACTCAAACAGACCCAGACTGACTCAAACAGACCCAAACAGACCCAGACTGACCCAAACAGACCCAGACTGACTCAAACTGACTCAAACAGACCCAGACTGACTCAAACTGACTCAAACAGACCCAGACTGACTCAAACTGACCCAAACAGACCCAGACTGACTCAAACAGACCCAGACTGACTCAAACAGACCCAGACTGACTCAAACTGACCCAAACAGACCCAGACTGACCCAAACTCAGACTCAAACTGACTCAAACAGACCCAGACTGACCCAAACAGACCCAGACTGACCCAAACAGACCCAGACTGACCCAAACAGACCCAGACTGACTCAAACAGACCCAGACTGACTCAAACAGACTCAAACTGACCCAGACTGACTCAAACAGACCCAGACTGACTCAAACTGACTCAAACAGACCCAGACTGACTCAAACAGACCCAGACTGACTCAAACAGACCCAGACTGACTCAAACTGACTCAAACAGACTCAAACAGACCCAGACTGACTCAAACAGACCCAGACTGACTCAAACTGACCCAGACTGACTCAAACTGACTCAAACAGACCCAGACTGACTCAAACAGACCCAGACTGACTCAAACTGACTCAAACAGACTCAAACAGACCCAGACTGACTCAAACTGACCCAGACTGACTCAAACTGACCCAGACTGACTCAAACTGACTCAAACAGACCCAGACTGACTCAAACAGACCCAGACTGACTCAAACTGACTCAAACAGACTCAAACAGACCCAGACTGACTCAAACTGACCCAGACTGACTCAAACTGACCCAGACTGACCCAGACTGACTCAAACTGACTCAAACAGACCCAGACTGACTCAAACAGACCCAGACTGACTCAGACTGACCCAGACTGACCCAGACTGACTCAAACAGACCCAGACTGACTCAGACTGACTCAAACAGACCCACTGACCCAAACAGACCCAGACTGACCCAAACAGACCCAGACTGACTCAAACTGACCCAGACTGACCCAGACTGACTCAGACTGACTCAAACAGACCCAGACTGACCCAAACAGACCCAGACTGACTCAAACTGACTCAAACAGACCCAGACTGACCCAAACAGACCCAGACTGACCCAAACAGACCGAGACTGACTCAAACTGACTCAAACTGACCCAAACAGACCCAGACTGACTCAAATGACCCAAACAGACCCAGACTGACTCAAACTGACTCAAACAGACCCAGACTGACTCAAACAGACCCAGACTGACTCAAACAGACTCAAACAGACCCAGACTGACTCAAACTGACCCAGACTGACTCAAACTGACTCAAACAGACCCAGACTGACTCAAACAGACCCAGACTGACTCAAACTGACTCAAACAGACCCAGACTGACTCCAACAGACCCAGACTGACTCAAACTGACCCAGACTGACTCAGACTGACCCAGACTGACTCAAACAGACCCAGACTGACCCAAACAGACCCAGACTGACCCAAACAGACCCAGACTGACTCAAACTGACCCAGACTGACTCAGACTGACTCAAACAGACCCAGACTGACCCAAACAGACCCAGACTGACTCAAACTGACTCAAACAGACCCAGACTGACCCAAACAGACCCAGACTGACCCAAACAGACCGAGACTGACTCAAACTGACTCAAACTGACCCAAACAGACCCAGACTGACTCAAACTGACCCAAACAGACCCAGACTGACCCAAACAGACCCAGACTGACTCAAACTCAGACCCAGACTGACTCAAACTGACCCAGACTGACTCAAACAGACCCAGACTGACTCAAACAGACTCAAACAGACTCAAACTGACCCAAACAGACCCAGACTGACTCAAACGGACGTGAAAAAAATGAAAGAAGCTAAAGCCTACCGATCACACAGTACAAGTGAACCACCGCATCCCCCGACGATTGAGACAAAACACAACGATATTAAGGATCAGCAGTGTTCCTGTACAGCTGGTCGGCCTCTGTTCATTATTACAGTCATTAAAAAGCAGAACAGCAGGACTTTATTACATTACAGTCAGTAGGAAGTTAGCTAGCGTTAGCTAACTAACATTACATTAGGAACAATCCACAGCAAAAAGGCTTATGGGTAATCTTGCCCGTCAACTTCTTGCGAACTGATGAACCGTTGTTCACGTCTTCCCTACACAGTCCATCCTTAGAACTGAACATGTCGTCTCCCTGCGGTTTGGCATCTTACTTAAAATGGCCGAAAACCCTGCAGTCCAGTCAGCAGGGAACTACGGGGCGATCGAACGCACCCTTATGTGTGTGTGCAGGTTTCAGGGACACTCGTCCTGCAGAACTACCTGATGGTTTGATCTTGTAAACGGTCTGCGTGGCGTTCCTCTCGACCTCTGACCTCAGCTCAGACTCCAGACGCCCCACTTTGTCCCTCAGGACCTGGTTTTCCTTCTCCACGCCGGCGTACAGCGCTCTGAAGATCCTGCAGATCTTACGGGCCACCTCTCTGGCGGTCCCCTCCAGGACGGCGGTCAGCTGGTGCTGCAGGGACAGATTTCATTTACCTGAATTAGTATTCTGTTCTCGCTTCACAAATGACCCTCACACTCCTTCTTCCCTCCACAGCTGGCCTCATTAGCAAGACCCGGGACCCCACACCCCCTCCCTTTGCAATACACACTGTAAATGTTTGCACGTGTAAATATCATGTAAACTGCAATACTGCACATATTCTTCTATATTTATATATTTTCCAAACTCTCTGCCCTGTAACACAAACTGGAATGCACATGTAAATATAATTTTATTATAACTTGCATCTGTTTATTCCATATTTAAATATTTTTACATCTATTTATATCAGCGGTCTGTTTGTGTCACCAAAGCCAATTCCACCCACGAGTAAAATACTAAATAAAGTTCTTCCTAATGCTTTTATTCTGAAGGCCACTGGTATGTACCGGAAGTCGCTCACATGAACACAACTTGACTGATTTATCTTCTAAATGTTCTGTTTCCGGTAGCTTCGTGTGATTTAACGCAGTAAAGAGACACATTAACGTTACAATTTAGTATTAACTGTACATGAAGTGTCCTGTGGATGGATGAATAAATAAATAAATAAAATAAATGTTCCTGTGTGTTTTTGAGTGGACGCCATGACACAAAATGGCGTCCTTCACCGTAGTAACAGCAGAGTGTTTATAAGGTACAAGGCAACGTGTCTGTCCAGCAGAGTTCTCTTTTATTAATAAACACTAACAGGATTTAATACTTTAAGTACATTTAACTGAAAATCACGTATTTTCCGTCGTGTTTCTGGGTCTCGCGCGTGAAAACGGATCTCCGGCCAAGTCGGAAGTGACGGCGGGATTTAGCTCCGGCTGTTTCTCAGATAAACTTCCCTCCCGCCTCTTCGCGGACATTATTTACTCGGTCAGGTTTCTCATACCCGCCTCTGCTCGCCGTCCGTCCCGTCCGGTCCGAGTCTCTGCTGCAGGACGCAGACCGCGGACTCCACCGCCACCTCCAGAACCAGCTCCGTCTGGGACATGAAAGTCTCGGCCGGCTCCATCACGGCCCGCGAGCCTTCCGGAAGTTACCACGAAGAGAAGTAAAGATTTTAACTGGTTTCAGAGCCTCCGGTCCGGGTCCGGGTCCAGTCCGGTCCAGCTCCACTGGGTCTGAAAGTGTGGGAGAAAGTCTGGCAACCCGCCGGGATGGTTCTCTGCCGTCTGTGCATCCAACATGGCGGTCTGATGTTTACATCCGTTTCACCGCCCTTTCAAAGTAAAGTGTCTCTTCCTCCGCGCGACACATCAGTTTCCTCAGGACCAGGGGCCTCATGTATAAACCCCTGGGGCCCCTGCGGCCTCATGTATAAAAAATGATGGCGTACTCACAGAATTAGAAAAGTACAGAAACATCCAAAACCAGGCGTGCACCAGGGGCCTCATGTATAAACCCCTGGGGCCTCATGTATAAACCCCTGGGGCCTCATGTATAAAAAATGATGGCGTACTCACAGAATTAGAAAAGTACGCACAGAAACATCCACATGTATAAAACCAGACGTGCACCAGGGGCCTCATGTATAAACCCCTGGGGCCCCAGGGGCCTCATGTATAAACCCCTGGGGCCCCTGGGGCCTCATGTATAAACCCCTGGGGCCTCATGTATAAAAATGATGGCGTACTCACAGAATTAGAAAAGTACAGAAACATCCAAAACCAGGCGTGCACCAGGGGCCTCATGTATAAACCCCTGGGGCCCCTGGGGCCTCATGTATAAACCCCTGGGGCCTCATGTATAAACCCCTGGGGCCTCATGTATAAAAATGATGGCGTACTCACAGAATTAGAAAAGTACGCACAGAAACATCCACATGTATAAAACCAGACGTGCACCAGGGGCCTCATGTATAAACCCCTGGGGCCCCTGGGGCCTCATGTATAAACCCCTGGGGCCTCATGAATAAAAAATTATGGTGTACTCACAGAATTAGAAAATTAAAGAAAAATCTAAAACCAGGCGTGCACCAGGAGCCTCATGTATAAACCCCTGGGGCCCCAGGGGCCTCATGTATAAACCCCTGGGGCCTCATGTATAAAAATGATGGCGTACTCACTGAATTAGAAAAGTACACACAGAAACATCCACATGTATAAAACCAGACGTGCACCAGGGGCCTCATGTATAAACCCCTGGGGCCCCTGGGGCCTCATAAATAAAAAATTATGGTGTACTCACAGAATTAGAAAAGTACAGAAACATCCAAAACCAGGTGTGCACCAGGGGCCTCATGTATAAACCCCTGGGGCCTCATGTATAAACCCCTGGGGCCTCATGTATAAACCCCTGGGGCTCCTGGGGCCTCATGCACAAACACTGCCTACGCACAAAAAGGTTAGGTACGCTGGTTTTCACGCACAGCTGTGATGTATAAAAATTAACGTGACGTGAGAATGTGAATCATGTCAAACTTTTGTCTGGCTCTGTCAGTGAACTCCAAAGGGCCAAAACTCACCAAATGTTTTAAAATAATGTTTCCTCTGCAGTTTCTGTGCAGATGTCCATGACGTAGTCAATGAAAAACCTGATTATGTCCGTAATGCAGACCAAACATATAAATGTTCACCTGTCAGACCTCCATCTTCACATGATCTCTGAAGAGACTGACTGAAGAGATCGTTAAAGCGAGATATATAGTAAAACCTGTTCTGCATGTACATTGATGTAGAAATATGTTATAAGGTAGCTGGCTACAGTAAAGAAAGTCATCTTCTCTGCATAAAAGTTATTGTTTAAAATGCCAAAACATTAGGAAGTGTAACCTGCAACACAGTTAACCAGTAACGTAGAGGCTATTTTTACTATATATAGTGTTCTTGTTGCTTTTTGGTTTATGGTTTACTATTTGTGAGCTTCCATAGGAGCTGACATTGGTTTGTGACGTCATTCAGCTGACTTCAGGTTGCGCTCCAGGATAGTTTTTCTAGTTGGAGATCGGAAATTTCCCAGTTCCAAGTTGCCTGGAACCAGAGCTGGACGGGGACAAAAAATCGGCCCTGGCATTTTTGGCCCAGGCGGCCCACCAAAATCGTCCGGCCCCCCCTCTCATTTATAATGAAAAGATTTATATTCATTGTAAAGAAAAGATTTAAACCTCTTTATCTTATATGAAAAATATTACATTCAAAAATGCAACATTTCGATATAAATCAAATATTATATTGAAGCATTACATCGTCTGAAGAATTTAAAGACTTACCATTTTTCTTTAATGCCTTTGTTGCTTCTGATCCCCCTGTGTCCATGTTCTCATGAGATGAACACGATTCAATAACAACAACAGTTTTATTGTCTATCAGACAAGAGCCTTTTTTAATTAAACAAAATATAACCTTTGTGCTGTCTTGTTAACCTGTGATATGAAATGTTAGTGTAGTTTCAGAATTTAAAAATCCTAATTGTTAACCGGCAAAATCACACGGAGCTCGCATGTGAAAGAAAGGTCCCCCATCGTGCAGCAAAGGGTGTAACACTACCGGTGGTCACTCAGCATCTGAGGGTTTAACAACCAACTACCACTTCACCCTCATCGGTTTCAGATGCTGCTCAATGTGGCAGACCCTCCGCATGAACGCGCAAACGGAGGTGGAAGTAGGTAGAGAGAGGGAGGAGCACGCAGTTTCAGAAAAAGGCCCCGAGTGTTGAAAAGTGGTGGGGACACTTGAGCCTTCAACATTTAATTTCCTGCATTCTGGAGACATTTTCTGCACCGAATTCATGTTGGAAATGTCTTTATTTATATAAAGTGAAGCTCAAAATTCAGATGGCAGGTGACAATTCAAAATAAGTTACTTCTAGTTAAACTAAGTTACTTTTTTGGACAACACAGAGGTTTCTTTTGTATTTACATTGCATTGCAGGCTTATTGTGAAAATAAACCTTTGTCATAGCATTATTATTTTTTCATTAACATTACTGTATTGTTGGTAGCTATTTTATTTTTCAGAACATTTTTGACAAATTCTTTAAAAAAGTGGTGGCTACATGTCCCCAGCGTCCTCGGTGTAAGTGACCCTGCCTCCGGGTACATGCTTACCATTTTACCTCCACTCTCCTTCTTCTCGGATGATCAAAGTTCGAATATGAAGACATTAAATGTGGAGTTATAATGCAGGTTAGTTATTATGGCTTAACAGTTTCTTCACAGATGCAGATTTACTAACGCAGACCACTGTTGAGGTGAGTGTCCTGTTTGTTTCTCCTTTTTTTCCCCCCTGCATTCTGTTTTCCCCTGTGTTTTGCCTGCCTCTCTCTCCGCTCCTGAGCCCAGCTGAGGATCCACACCTGCACCTCATCAGCAGCCTCCTCTGCCCGTCACACCTGCCAGTATATCAACCCCGGTTCTCCACACAATCTCTGCTTGATCGTCGTTGCTCCTGACCTGGTGCCGCTGCGTTATTTAAGTCTCTGTGAATCCTGCAACATCTCTGTTTTCCCAGTGATTAACCTTGTCTGTCTGTCTGCCACCGTCGCGTCACCTCCACTCCCTCAGCCCCTTCTCCCTTTTTCTAATAAAACCTGTTTAATCCTGAGCGTTGCGTTTGGTCCGTTCTGTCCTGACTCACAACAACCACTTTTTTAATCTTTATTACCCTGTCTGAAAACCCAACAAGCCGTGGTTATTCGAGCTCCGAGCCTTTGTTTTATTTGATGCTCTTTCTCTTTGGTATTGTTATTTTCTGTAATGTGGGAGCTGTACTGATTATCATGACGTGTCTTTAACGCCCAGATCTTGTTAATAAAGGAAGGATTTTAAAAAAACAAGAGACCGTGCTGTGACGCTGTAATGTTTTATAAAAAGTGTGTCACCTCTCAGCTTCCTGTTCTGCTGGAGCCAGATGTTGTGAACATTCAGGGCTTAGCCCAAACCTAGGGGGGTCGGGGTGGCATGCACCCCCGGGGAGAATTTGTTTCCAACATTAAGCCAGTTGAATGAACTATTTTTAATGCTGTTTGAGATGATAGACTGCCTAAAAATACAAACACCATCTGGGGAAAAAGATGAATGTTTCTTTGGAAAATAATCCTAGTCATCGTCCTGTAGAGCTACAATCTATTTTTACAGCTGTAGTTAATCCAAAACTCAACAAATGTTGATCACTCATTTTCACTCCTGGCAACTAAAAAGGGACATAACTTATGTGATGTTACTATTTTTAAGTTACATAACCAAGGAACAGTAAATATGTTGTAAATGTTTCTGATCATCATTGGAGTTGGGAATCTCTAAGAACCTCATGATTTGATTTGATTACGTTGCCGAGGGCTGTGGAGCGATTATATAATTTTTTTCTATGTGATTTCTGGATAATTACTAAGCATTTGATGTGCACATTAAAATCCAAAACAAAACGTATCCTCATCAGATTTAAAGGACTAGTTTTCATCCCTAATTTACTTTACAAATTTCAGCTCCTTTGTTGTCACCACCGTCCTCCTCTCATCCCCACTGGTCATAAACTTATCATATCATCATAAAGATGCAAAAAATTTAAAAGCATATCTTATTCTCTTACACTTACTTCTGGCATCTGTGCTCCCTTTACTCATCTTCTGTTCACTCCTTTCTTCTAAACACATTTTCATCTCTTGTCCCTCTTCTGGAGTCCCTTGATCGCCAATGTGCAGTTAATCCACCTGCTGTGATGCCCGGCCTTCCTCTTCCCTCGCTGACTCATCTGTGTGACAAAATAGTCCCTCAAACACAGTCAGATCAGCTGACATTAGCTAGCGAGTAGTGATGAGTGGATGAAGCATTATGAAGCTTTGGGGCTTCAAGCTAAGCAAACACAGTTGCATCTGATGGCGTGTAAAACTTACAGCAGCACTTTTAGACTGAGGCCAAAACGCCACCATAACTCGCTGATAATTATCATTTTAGTCTTATGTGTGCAATAAAAGGGTTAACCCTAACCTGACAGTTGATATTTATGAGATGCAGACATGTGATGTGATTGGACAGTGATATTCATTAAACTAGCCCATTATTACTTTTGTTACATCAGTACAGAAGCATCTCAAATCTAAAAACAAATTTGAATCTGGTGGAGAAGTTAATTGTGAGCACCAGAACCAGACAGAGATTAAAGGCTTAAGAAACTTTTGCAGGTGTTTTGAGTTAACTAGCTGATAAGAGCTCTTCTCAGGTCGACATCTCTGTATAATAAATAATTTATTCTGAAATTCTAA